AACGAGTCGTTTTTAAAACAAATCCCAAGACGTTTCATGTTGACATTTGTACACAAAGCACCACTGCGCTCACAAAGACTGCTTTATCAGGCATTACAGGCATGATGAAATGAAAATGAGACCAATCGGACCAATCACCGAAGATTAGCGTCACGCAAAGGAGGGCTTTGGAAAAATTAATCGTGGAGCGAATAGTTTGGGAGTTGTTGAGCAAGTAAGGTAAAAATAAATGCATATTATAAGACAATACAAGTGTTTTTTGACCTTGCATGCATGTCAACCTGTTCTTGGGGACTCCCAAAACCAAAATATGAACCTTTCATTACCCATAATAAGGGCACTTTAACTGTTATTACAATAATTTCTCATAATAAAAAAAATTGAAAAAAGTAGAAAATTGGTGTTCTATTTGTAATTGTAATAATTTATTCATTGGAGATTTTAACTGAAATTACAATAATTTTCACAATAAAAATCTCACAATACATTGTTTTTTAAAATTAGTTATTAATGAGTATCATTCCTTCCCAGACAATCACGGCAATAAAACACACCCACACACACACCTACTCTGACCAGTACAAACACAAAGTCAAATGTCTCTTGTTTATCAAGGTTCAAAGTTGATGTAATAATAGTAGTAATAATAATAATAATAATAATAATAATAATAATGCAAAAGTAAATAAACAAATAATTGCATATATACATACAGATAAATCAAATAATAGTATTTCATTTCGAGAACAGCCATAGTGTGTATCTGTGTATGGCTATGCCACAACAAGCATTAGTCTCCAGGAAATATTTCTACATGAATATTCATCTGCATGAATGCATATTTGTGAACATTCTGCATTTGTGTTCGTTGCAGTGAGTAATAGCTGCTCCGTTTGTACTCGTGCGTGCGTGTGTATTTAAACGTGAGCGAGAGAGCGGCCATGGGTATTCATACTTAAGCTTCAGTTTTGATGTACTATGTGCAAAAAGTTATTTCGAAATGGTCATAATTACATTTTGACAATCATGACCACATTAACATATGATCACCTAATTTATTTATAAATGGATATTTAGTTACCAGAAACTTCATGAATGAAACTAAACCTACATGATGGGACAGTCAGACATGACAGGTAATTCACAAGCAAGTCTTAAAGGTACAGTACCAAAACCGCTGGTTTAATTGTAAAGGTCAGAACGGGAAAAAAATAAGTATGAAAATCATATAAAGCTAAATTAAGATGATTTTTGGTATGAGGAACCTTGACTACCATTATACAAGATATAAAATCATAAGAATATAGCCTGGAAAATGTGAAAAATGATTATATACCTATATGTAATAATCCAGCAAAAAATATAAGGTATCATACCAGTAGGTAATACACCTTAAACCAAATTACACTTATAAACACTATATTCTGTCCTGCATTACTTTATAGCTGCAATATTGTGGTGTCAAATATGGCAGAAATGCTCGATAAGCACAATATAAATGTTTGTGTGATTTTAGTCAGTGAGGTGATCTCATACCAAACAAAAGAAAGCGTCAGAGAGGGTCAGGCTTTAAGCTAAAAGGCGCAAATGTGTTTTTCACCACTCATTTGGAGCGACTCTGCTATTGAGCTGTGATTTTGAAGGTCCAAGTGCAGCCCACTCTCTCTGGCTCGTTCTATCTCTTCCCAACTGGAGCTTGGGAGGCTTCTTGCACTTGACAGAACTTTCTAACATAAAAACCACTTTCCTAAAAACCATCAAGCTGTCAAGTGAAGTGGAAAAATGAGAGAGATCACTGCATAAAGGCTGAGAGGGGGGACAAAGAGAAAGAAAGGAAAAGAAATGGTGGGATGGCTCAAGATTCTCCAGCAGATAAAACACATAAAACGTTCCAATGACTTTTCTTAATTTCTCCAGATTTATTTATTCTGCTTTCTCTCGCTCTCTTTCTTTGTTTACTTAAGCCTTTACTATTTCACAATAAAAACGTGCTTATATTTGAAGTGGCCATGATGGCTCATACTGTAAGAATGAAAAATTAAACATCAGCTGTATACCCTTAGAGAAAAATTTGATAATTTGGAACACAAATGGAGATTTCTGGTTATACTGTAAATATCATCAAATATCTCAGATTGTTTTAGGGTTACTGGTTAACTAAAACTATTTTTTTTGCTAATTAAAATGAAACAAATAGATGTTAACTGAAATAACAAAAAAAAAAAAAAAAAAAAGAAGCCAAGGCAACTATTCTCATTTTTAAAAATGAACTAAAACTAAACCTGAAATATACATATATAGACATATTTAGAAAAAGTTTAAAAATGACAAAAACACAACAAAATTACTAAAAAAGTAAAATTAAAAAAGAAAATTTAAAAAATTTATTACTAATAAAAACTATAATAATACCTCTGATACCAAAATTATACCGGATTTAAAAAAAAAAAAAAAAGACCCCAGTAATCTCCAATGTTTCCAAATAGGACTCAACAAATGTCTATGCTCAGGTCTGTCAAGAAAAGTGTAAGATTTCTCCAATATTTCTCATTAAATTCTTCCAAACCCTTCACTATATCTCAGATATAGTCTCCATATTCATTTTACAGCTCTAATCCTCCATTTTTTAAAAATATAATTCTCTTAAGAAATTATAGGAGAAACATCCGAGACAAAGACTAAAATAAAACCCAACCAAGAACTCCATTAAGTCTCCTGAGCGCTGAATGAGCAGCCCAAGTGATAAAACGTTCCTCTGGGTAATTAGTATTCTTATGAAACATTTGTGATAGGCAGAGCCTTCGATTGAATTCATTTGCAGCTGCTGCGTTTGCATTTCTTGCGAATAGATGTGCTCATAATAAGACGATCAAGGGTTTTTCTTATTACAGTCAACATCTAACATGATGACTTACACGTTCATGTGGGGGGGGGAAAAAAAAAGAGCAAAACGAAAAGTAAAATTAAAAAAGAAAATTTAAAAAATTTATTACTAATAAAAACTATAATAATACCTCTGATACCAAAATTATACCGGATTTAAAAAAAAAAAGACCCCAGTAATCTCCAATGTTTCCAAATAGGACTCAACAAATGTCTATGCTCAGGTCTGTCAAGAAAAGTGTAAGATTTCTCCAATATTTCTCATTAAATTCTTCCAAACCCTTCACTATATCTCAGATATAGTCTCCATATTCATTTTACAGCTCTAATCCTCCATTTTTTAAAAATATAATTCTCTTAAGAAATTATAGGAGAAACATCCGAGACAAAGACTAAAATGAAACCCAACCAAGAACTCTATTAAGTCTCCTGAGCTCTGAATGAGCAACCTGAGCGATAAAACGCTCCTCTGGTTAATTAGTATTCTTATGAAACATTTGTGATAGGCAGAGCCTTCGATTGAATTCATTTGCAGCTGCTGCGTTTGCATTTCTTGCGAATAGATGTGCTCATAATAAGACGATCAAGGGTTTTTCTTATTACAGTCAACATCTAACATGATGACTTACACGTTCATGTGGGGGGGGGAAAAAAAAAGAGCAAAACGTGTATGGCTGTGTGAGCGTTTTTTACCAAGTGAATATTCTCTGCACTAAAAGAAAGGAACTCCAGCAAAGTGACTCCCCTGTATTCAACATCTATGATGTCATAATCACTCGCATCAAAGGCATTCCGTTCGCCACGGCAACTGTCATTCTCCCTGGAGGCGTCATTAAAACAGAACACACCAAACTGAGCTGAGCAAGAGCTAATGGAGCAACTTCAAAACACACGCGCACACACACTACAACCAAACAATGTTAGAGCGGGACAGCAAGTTTGTACTAACCCAAATAGGAGTGACGGAGTAATACACACACGTGCCCGCAGACATTCATAAGGCACGCTTGCACACACACACACACACACACACACACACACATGCTCAGAGACACTAAAAGACACTATAAATAGGACAGCTCTAATGTGGTGCTGTGTAGTTCTTGCCCTTGGGTACAAGGCTCTTCCAGAGAGAAAGAGAGAGAGATGGAGAGGAAAAGGAAAAAGGAAGAGTACGAGTGGACGAGATTGAAAACTAAGCCAAAAAAAAAAAAGAAGAGTTATCGCTTTTTGAGGGCTAACTTTTTGGCAAAAAAATTAAAATAAATACATAATAAATAAACCTACATACAATGTGCTTAAAATTTAAAATGCATTACATGTACATTTTGGTAGTTGACATATAATGCATACACTATCTATTTTTTATTTACTGTATATGAATAAATATAGATATACTGTATACACACACATAACCATTCAAAAGTGGCAAAAGTTTGGGGTCTGCAAGATTATTTTTTAATGTTTACTTAAACAAAAAAACAATAAATAATGTGAAATATTATTGCTATTTAAAATACATTTTCTATTGTAGTACATTTTAAAATGCAATTTATTTTTATGATGGCAAATCTGATTTTTCAGCATCATTACGCTAGTCTTCAGTGTCATATGATCCATCAGAAATTATTTTAATATGATGATTTGGCGCTCCAGAAACATTTTATTTACTATTATAAATGTTGAAAATAGATGCTCTGCTTAATATTTTTTTGTGCAAACAATGGCACATTATTATTATTCAAAAAATTATTTGTAGCATTTTAAATATCTTTACTGCCAATTTGGACAAATTTTAATCATTCTTGCAGAATAAAAGTTAAAATTTTTCTTCAGCAAAAACGTATTAATTAAAAATAATAAATAAAAGACTCCCAAAATTTGAATGACAGTATACATATACAGTTTAATATATATTAAAATTTACATGCATAGTACATGTATAATTAAAATAAAAAAACAACAACACCAAAATGCTATAGTGATTATTATATCGATTTCAGCATGTCACGTTGCCAACTTCCCTATAGTATTATGTCAACTACCCATCTGTACCAGTGTGCATGTGTTTTCTTATTTGCATGTGTTTATGTGCCAGTTTGACCGTGATGACCTACCCCAGGTAGCGTCTTCTGCTCGTGAAGCGCGGTCTGAGCTTTTAGCGCTGATTCTCTTGCACAGTATGTGAGGAAGGCACAACCTGAGAGAGGAAATAACAGAGACAGAGATAAATTAAAGACAGGTCAGAGAGGTTGAGACACAAGCAGGTGTCCGTTTGAGTAGAGCTGGGCTCTCTACCTTCATATTGTTTTCATCCAATCCAAGAAAGAAAAACAATGTTATTACATTTGTGTAGCAGACACAGAGTCATAAAAGACAGAAGAGCGATGAAGACTTTCTGAGAGCACATGCCCACAGCCATACACACTCACGCTCCCCTGAGAAAGATGGAGAGTGAGCGCAAATACAAGTGTGTGTGTGTGCGCGTGTTTGTGGAAAAAAAATATGCTGCTTCTTGTAATTTTCTGGCTACAAGGCCGTGCTGGTATCAACATTTAACAGAGTATGTTTTTGTATGCTTGCTCATTAATTTGACAGACAATAAGGATGCTCCATTTAGGAATTTTTGGCCAATAAAAAATGCTGATCATTATTTTTGTCAAAAATAGCATTCATACTAACACTCTCCAGAATTATGTACAATCAGGCTTGCAAAATTTAATGTGCAAAAAAACGGCTTGGTTTTAAATCAGCTTGAAAAATAATCTGAATATTATGTGCAAATAGATATGTATTAAACAAATATATTATCATACATTATTAGACAGTGAAAACAAACTGGTACAGGGCCAAACAATATATTAGGGCTGGTCCGAATGCCATTTTTGAGCTTCGAAGCTTCGGTAGTAATCAACACCGAATATTTGAAGCTTTGGAGGGAGGGGGCTGAACATATTCTTCTCTCTAACACCGTGTCTACAACGGACGTGAACAGCGCGGCGCGACAAAATACTATAGAACTCATTATAATCAGTGATGCGGTCTACACTGGATGCGGCGCATCGCGACACGACAAATTCCCGACAGAAAACTGCTGCTGCGTTCTATTTTTGACGTATTGACACAAATTTCAAATGATTTTCAACGGTCGCTTTTTCGCGTACAGTGAAGACATGGTGTAATAAAGGCAGGAATCTCTGTGTGTCTGTCTACATTTTTATTATTTTCGAGAACCGTTCATCCAATCGACTTCACGCGTGGCAGTTGTGTTGCTGTGGACCCAAGGGAGTGCAGTGTCACATTTTGGTGCAATATGGACACTTGACACGTTCAGAATTAATAAACTTAATAAACTACAGAACAGCGTGATCCGGAAGCGGCGTGCCTCACGCGGGCAGGGTTTACATGCTCCTGTACGTTCAGGCTACTGTACGTTTTTTTTATGACTGCCGTATTCGCAAGTATTTTCCAAGCAAATTAAGTGCACGTTTTTATCATGTGTAAAATTACTGATTAACATGGCGGATAAAAGCAGCTCGTCTTTTTTTACACCAACAATATACTATAGGCGTACTACTTACAGAACTTTTTCAAACTTAATGTGCTGTTGTGGTAGGCCAGCTTCAAATCGCATATTTGGCACACTACCTTTGTCTTGTCCTCACTCAATTTAAAGTGCTCCCACACAGCTGAGGTTTTCGGCATTTTTGTCTTCTCTTCCAGATGAACTGAATCAGGACGTTCACTCATGGGCGATTCGTTTCGCGGGGGATGCCAGGTGTTCGAAAAAAATAAATATATATTAGAATTTCAAAATTGAAAATCGAATGTCAACCCACCAAACGAATATTCGAATAATCAAATATTCTGGTCCAGCCCTACAATATATGATAAATAATAAATAACAGATGTTACAATTATTTATATATAAATAATGTTGGTCTTAACATAAAAAAAATTAGCAACATATTTTACATGTTTAAGGGAAAAAAAATTATAAATAAATTCACAAATATTCTTTTGCTTGAAAGCAATGCGGTGTAAAACAGTCACATGATTGATGATGAATGACGCTTCTGGGACAATAACAAGTCATTTGCGAAATTTCAACAAAATGTTAGGCAGCTAGATAACATTATCTTGTGACATATTTAAATGAGCAGAATTCATAACGACAACGTTCAATACATTCCAGATCACCAAATATATAAGTTTCGAGGCCTATAACACGTATAAATCAACAAATGTGAGATTTAGAGACAATTGGCCTGAAAGCACAAGAGACAGTTCCTCATATGGCAAAAAATTGGTACTAATATTGATATACCAATACTGATATGGCGCCCCTTAAATAAACAGTATGCAAGATTTTACACAAACTTAAATCATAGAGAAATGCTAGCAGATGAAAATGAACAAAATGTGCTGCGTGATAAAGGGATAAGCCAAATCAACAACAACAAAAGTTACGGAAGAGATCTGAAAGAAGAATGAATGACGTAGCAAGAAAGTTCATCCAAGCATGCCTGATGTGATAGGATCTTTTTTTCAGCTTTCATGGCCTGTTGCAGCTCACGCCTCTGTCTTAAGTTTCAGTGTGACAAGACGACAATCTTCCTGTCCCTCCACAGAACATCTGCCCTAACACGCATCGATGTGCCTTTGTGTTAACGTACATCTCTACCAACAAGCACTCGATCTCATATGATGCTAATCTCACCCGGCTAAAAGGAACCGCTAAAGTAGTTTGCTATAAACAACCGTGAATCTTTTCAGCGTCAACTTAATCAAAAATCCCTCTGGGATGGGAACTGAGTGGAATAACCACTGAACAAAAGCTGAAACGATTAGCGTCGCATTTGTACATGAAGTAAGCAAATTTGAATATGCAAAAGCATGTTAATGGATGCTAATGTTTATGCTAATCCTGCATTAATATTAAAAAAATGCTAATATATTAATATGCTGAGTAAACATGATAATCTGGTGCTGACATTTCTGCCTGCATGCTTAATAGTGTCACAGACGACGATAAGATGAAATGGCTGATTACCAACTAAAATGGAAAAATTAAAACATTCATTTATTTTCAAACAAACCCTTGTTGCAGCAAGATGCTAATCTTTTCTTTTTAATAACCGAAAAAAAAGAAAGAATAAAAAAACCATTTGGGTGATGAAAGAAATCCAACCCTTACAAAAAAATCAGCCATGTTAAAGTAATAATTCACCCAGAAAAATGAATTTGCAGAAAAATTTGACTCGCTCTAAGGCCAACATGTAGATGAGTTTGTTTCTTCATCTGAAAAGATTTAGAGAAATGTATCATTACATAACTTGCTAATCAATGGATCCTCTGCATACAGTGAATGGGTGCCGTCAGAATGAGAGTAAAAATAACTAATAAAAACATCACAATAATCCACTCTATCAAAATCATGTGAAGTGAAAAGCTGCATGTTTGTAAGAAACAAATCCATCAAGACTTTTTAAACTTTAAACTGTTGCTTTCAACTAAAATGAGCCCTCTAAATATTGCCTTATTTAGTGAAAAAGTTATCTCGTATAAATCAGGAGAGAAATATGCACAGATAAAGCACTGTTTACATATGAAAACAGTCCAAAATGGAGTCCAAAATGAATTTTGATGTAAGAGGACAACAGAGCTTGGAATTTTTCACTGGATGAAGTGGATTACGGATTATGGCCAGAAGTGAAGTTTTGAAAACACCTTAAAAATTGATTTTTTTTTTTTTTACAAACAAGCAGATTCTCACTTCACAAGATGTTAATTAATGGACTGGAGTAATATAGATTACTTGTGGATTATTGCAATGTTTTTATCAGCTATTTGGACTTTCATTCTGACGGCACCCATTCACTGCAGATGATCCATTGGAGAGCAAGTGATGTATTGCTAAATTTCTCCAAATCTGTTCTGATAAAAAATTTTTTTTGAAGATATCAGGGTGAGTAAATTTTCATTTCTGGGTGAACTATTCCTTTAACCACAGCTTCTACATTTTTTCCTATCTCAGTAGTGGATACTTTGGTAATTATTTTGGTGAATACTAAAAAAAACACATGACCTCAGGAGCAAGGAATCTAAAGAAAAAGACTGAGAGCGGCAGCAGCGTAGCTTCCTCCCCGCCTCTCCATAAAAGCCCCAGTGCCGCAGGGACGCTAAACACACACAAGGGACACATGCGCTGACGTCCACACACACACACACACACACACACACACGGCCCCCTGAGGCTACAGCATGAATCAGCAATATTCTTCCCCACTGTCCACTATGTGTGTTTAACTCTGGCCAGGTTGGGTGAGTGCATGTACGCTTGCGTATGTGTGTGTGTGCATCGATGTGTGTCTCCCGCAGTCCTGCCTGGGTTTTTTAATTAACTCTGACTCATTAGCGTTGGGGAGAGCTCAGTGTGACAGCTTGGCGCGCTCCTCTGAGGGCCTGTCATGTTATAGAACAGGCTAGAGCTCTCATGGGACACTTGTGCATGCTTCCCTGTCCCACTTGACAAGCGCCGGTGCACACACACACACACACAGTAGAACACACACAAGTATACGGGATGAACGGAAAGATAATGGGGAGCCTCCATTTGTTTGTCCTCTAAAAGCAATATTGTTTCTTTCTGTCTGGTCACGACAGCACTTTAAAGACGACAGAGAGAGAACGTAAGAGAGAAAAGAAAATACAGTACAAAGGGAGCAGAAAAGATGAAATACAACGGTCGGATGGTAATGGAGGGGTTTTGGACCAAAAGCTGGAGGTTTGTGAAAATAACAGAGGAACGAATTGAGTCTCGGAGGTTTGTCAGTGGTGTGGGTTTCATTTGAACATCAGGGCATGTCTCCAAGCACTCTAAAAAAAAAAACTACAAACAAACAAACAAAAATTACTATGACTTTGAGAAACTAAAAGTGGTTCTTAGCTGGTTTTGCTTCTAGATTCAGATTTTAAATCGGACTTCAAATAGCAACAGAATCAATTTTATTCTCTACATTTTTTATCAGTTTAAGCAAACACTGAATGCATTTCCAATAAAATGCACAAACCCAAGAATACACAGCATTTATCTTTGTTGCAAGTTAAGCTACATTTAATGTAGTCCTTATGCTCACCAACATTGCATTTAATCACATATACAGCAAAAAGTTAAATATTACAATTTAAAAGAACTGT